CTCGAGTAATTGGCAGCGCAGGTGCTGCAGATGGCTCAGACAAAGCGGTTTCCCTGTTTCTCGAGTAATTGGCAGCGCAGGTGCTGCAGTTGGCTCAGACAAAGCGGTTCTCGTGCTTCTTCATGCACATACAAGTCTCATCTCACATCTCACATCAAATCTCACGGTAACTTGGTGAGGAAGATACCACTTGTTCCAAAAGAAAACACAGATTTACAATACAAATAAATATTTATATATTTTAACTTCTGGAACTAAATATGAGTATTTGTATGACACTTACATCAATTTTAAGTGTATTGTTTTGTATTCCTCTAACACATGAAGAACCTCAACATTTCATATACTAAAACTTTGTTTTAAGATGAACATTTTAGACACAGATATTTTTTTGGTAACGTATTCAGTGTCAGGAAGAATCTAACAAAAATAATAATAAGAATGTGGTTGTAAATGTCTACATTACAACCTCTAAATGTTGGGTAAGAACTTTTCGGAACAAACATGACAGTCTAGCTTGGACAGTGCTACTTCTCACAAAAACTTTTCCACTCTGCCATGGCTTTTTTGTATGAGCCTGTGGTGTCTTGCTCATGGATATTGTCCTTTAAAACTTCAGTCTGAATGACAGACAGAAGGGTTGCCACACACTTTGGATAAGTGAGATGCAGGGTGTAGTTTACAACAAAAATGCCCCTAGTGGTAGAAAACCTGCATTACAGGGTTGATACAACCCCGCGAAAATCGATACAATTTCGCGCCTCCTGACACAAGCAGGCAGAAGTTCATCATCCGGCCTTTCTTTGAGTTCCAGCTTCCAGGGAGGAGGAAGGATGGAAAGACCTACAATTCAGAGGTAAGAATCTTTATTTAAAATGTGCTGATGTAGTTGTTATAAAACTGTATTTCTGGCAAAGACCCCAAAACATTAGGAAAAATAATGCTTTACATTTTGTCTGTTTATCAAAATGTATCTGAACACCGGTCCATTTGGCTAAATTCCTCAGCAACCTGATTCGGACTGTGATCTGGTCCAAATCAGGTAGACGCTGTTGATACCGTACAGACAGCTGTAATTAAAACCGGAACCTACGCTCCTCCCTCCCACTCGGCTGGAGTTTCCCCGCCGTTGCTAGTTCTGGAGCTAGAAAGGTAACATATTTCAGTCTGGTTTGCTAGTGGTAGCATCGGCGCTACACTCCCGCTCCCCCCTCCCACTCGGCTGGAGTTTCCCCGCCGTTGCTAGTTCTGGAGCTAGAAAGGTAACATTTTCCAGTCTGGTTTGCTACTGCTAGCATCGGCGCTACACTCCCGCTTCACCATCCTCTCGGCTGAAAATTCTCCTTTGCTTCCCTTGTGTTCATGTCGAACGTACCAGCATGGGTATTGCCATACTCCTCCACCCTATTACCCTCCACCCTCCCGTCAATAGTAGCGTCAGTGGTTATAGCGATCGCTGAACCCCTGCTTCTAATTCTCGTCTGATTCCTGCTCTGTCAAGTTCGGGTGTAGAAGCAGCGCTTATTAGAACTGCATCCTCCTGCCCGGTCATCGGAAATTCTCCTTTTCCTGCTTGGCCCTGGTCCAAGAGGTAAGTTAATCATGGAGAATGGTTTATTTTGTCTTTCATTAACTAGATGAATGCTTTTAAAGGTGTGGAAAACTGAAAAACAATTTCTAATGATTATTTATGCTTCGGCTGATGGTTTCTCCCTCTGGTTGGTCTCTGCTCTCTGAGGCGTGCAGCAAACTCATAACTTTATGGTTTTGATCCATCAGAAGTAGAATTATAAACATTTAAAGTTTCCTCTGTGTCAGAGCTGCATTAGTGTCCATAGGTTTCTCTGGATTAAGCTAACAGGACTCCCTCAGCTGAAGCCACTTGGTTTGGCAAAAAAATAGCAAAAAAAAAAAAAAAAAAACGTTTTCACAAAAATGACTCTAAAAACCTAAATAATATATGTTCGTGTAAAAAATGTTTAAATTAGTTTCTATTATGTGTCTAAACATGGGAGTCTCTAACCTGCAATTTGCTCTTTAAACTCGTAGACAGTGAGCTGCACAAGTGTGGAGCAAGTGTGCAGTTTTATCACTGTGCACAAGTTTAGGCTCAATCCACCTAAAATAATAAGGGGGTTAGGAATATTTTAGAAGATCTGAAGCCCTCTTAAAATGGACCTAACAACATGGTGGGCTTCATGTGAAAGTGAGAATGTTGTTGAAAAAAATTTAAACTGGGCATAAACATCCGCTCATGAGGCAGAAAAGAGGATAATTCTGTGAACTGAAAAATAGATTTTACTGCAGCTCTGATTTTTTTAATGCATGAACTTTCACCTCTATCATCTGTCTATTTATCTGTGTGTCAGTTCTTAACTGTCTTGTCTATTAATTTATCTGTCTGTCTGTCTCAGGATTATGGCAAGCTGTTCGGATCACTAATCACCCACTTTTGAACATGTTCAAGTATTTAACAGTGTCTAAATTGCCGTTCTTAAACTTAAAATGCAGAAAACAGCGGCGAAAATCCCTTCTGAACGCTGTATTTAATGCTGTCTTCATGGAGTTGTAAAAATGTTTTTTATTCTGGTCATTGAATGCCGCATTGAGGCACTTCTAACGTGTCCTCAGAACCGTGCAAAAGACGTTACTTTTGACAACAGAAAACACCGCTTTTTACGGCGTTCTGTGACTTTTCTGATGGCATAAAAGACGCCATTTTACTTTTGATTGTGCAAGCCGTTCCCAAATGTTTTCTCAGCCACTTTTTGTCAACTGCGATAGCCCAATCCATGAAAAAAAAATACCGACAGCACTAGTTCATCCTAGATGCTATTTCCTGCTTTCCTGAAGATGCTACTTTATGCTGCAATTCACCAAAATTACCTCATCTGTAGTATTGATTGTTTCATTGACATGCGTTAAACATAATGCCCAGAAAAAATGTTTTTTACGATACCATGAAGATGGAGTAAAATACAGCATTCTGAAGGGATTTTCGCCGCTGTTTTCTGCGTTGTAAGTTTAAAAATGGCAATTTAGACACCGATAAATACCTGAACGTGTTCAAAAGTGGGCGATTAGTGAGCCAAAAAGTGTGCAGGGGTGGACCTTTAAAGTACCCGAGCGCCAATGGCGCTACATTTTCTCGTCGGGCGGTAAACAATTGATGACTTACTGGCCGGGTGGCGCCCAAGCCTTGTTTGTCATTTACACACAGGCTTTCACCTACATCATGGTCGCGCCCTGTAGGAAGCCGCCATTTTCGTTTCGCGCACATGAACCTGTGGGACTCTATTCACATACTGAATGTACTGCACTTGTACGTGTCATGTGAACTCTAAGTTTACTATAAAAGACGGAGTGGAACCACACTAGAAACACACAAGCATGCAGGAAGATGGCGCCACCACAGGGATGGGATTTCTTGATGAAACCTCTGGCAAAACGCTTTAAAACTGGTGAGGAGAAGCGAGACCGTTCGAAACGGTATGAAGTAGAGAAGCGTGTGCGTAGGTGCAATGATTCTTGACGGTTTAAAGAAGACGGGAGGCGCAGAGAATGGCTCGAGTTCAGCAAATCGGAGGAGGTGATGTACTGCGTTGTATGCCGGAAGTATGCAACGACAAAATCGAGTTTTGTTGAGGGAACAAACAAATTCAAACTTGAATACGTTATTATGTTTGTGAATGTGTACAAAATAAAGGTTTATTACATTTAAAACGGTTCAGTTGCTATTTTGACTCGTTTGGCAGCTGACCTGCGGGGCCGGTAAATTTTGAGTTACCGGCCCAGCTGGCCGGTTGGTTTTGAAGTTAATGTCCACCCCTGACAAGTCTCTAAATAAAGTAAAAATTTCCAGTGCAGATTGGAGACAACCCATAGAAGCACTGATTTGATCTCATTTGAGAGAAAATAGAACAGGTTAGCTGCACCTAATTAATAAAATTACTAACAAACTCAGGAATCTTTCTTTGCTTCACTGTTCTGGTGCTGAGAATATCACCTATGCAGATCAAAGGAGATCCACAGATAAATGCACCTCTTATTTATTATTTGGAGACTACATTTACTGCAGCTGGCAGAGGCAGAGATTTTTTCTATTGATACACGGAATTTACAGAATCATTTTAAATTTTTATAGAGGAAGACTGCAGGAGGGAGCGGTAAAATACAGGAAGTCCCCAGCAAAAACAAGAAACTACGAGTCTGATGAAACCCGCTGGTTTTCCATCAGGCAGTCACGGGGCAGCTCCAACGACCCAGTGGCTGTGCTGGGTCAATGTTATCGAGCTCAGTCCGGTGTCGGTACAGGATCTGCTCGGGTACAAGATCGGCTCGGGGTCCGTCGACTGCCGATGACGTCTAAGTAGTTGATTGGCTGATCATGAACCTTACGGAAATACGTAATCACGTTATGTTATCACGTTACGTTGGTCCAGGCAAATCTTTCTGTTGGAAAGATGGACAACTTTTACAAAGAAATCCATCATTACCTCTTTGAAAATACACTTTTAGCATAGAGCTGCATGTATATTGGGGCTGAACGATTAACTGCATGTGCAATTAAATTGCGATGTGACAAAAGGAGATTTTCTCATCGCAAAGGCTGCAATGTGGCAGCGAGTGGTTAGCACAATGCTAATATACATGGAAAAACCCATAGGAATGCTAATGCTAATATCGCCGATTACATTATTACAAACGATGAATTAGAAATTGTGCCAAATGATTACATTTGGAGTCGAATAGAAAGTAAAACTACCATCAATCAAATAATTTCAGACAGGTATTTTAGTAAAGCCAGAAAACTTTTAACTCCAGAGTTTTTGCTAGCAGCTATGAGCGTAACTGAAAGTAGTGGTAACAGCCTCCTCAGAGTCTTACTCCACCCACATTTCATATTTGAAAAATGCGGCCCAAAGAGGCGTTTCCTGTAAGACCGAGAAGGCGGAGCTACGGCCGTGATTGACATACTGAAATTTAAATACAGATGGCGACGGAGAGCGACACTAGCTCAGAGCAGTCATTCGAGGTGGAGGACTTTTCCCCACCTTCTTCCCCAGAGGATAGGGAGGAGGGCTTATTGGGGGAAGCAAGCGGTCCTGAACCGTATCTTTTTGAGCCACTAGCTCGTGAGTTGTCAGAGGCCCCTGGAGTCGAGCCAGCAGGAGTATCAAGGCATCGAATGGGTCCAGTCTCTGAGTGGTAAGTAGCTTTTAGCCACAGCTAGCTATATTTAGCTTAGCTAAAAGTAATATTGTATGACTGCCTCGACAGGTGCACCTGCGGCCACTGCACATCATTGTCTGCCAGAGAAAATGTGTGCTGCAGAGAAACGCCCAAGGTATAAAAATAAAAGTACCCCACCATGAGAAAAGCATTCTGTAATGTACACATTTGTTACACAATCACTAACATCATACTAATATTGAACTCTTATAGCCCTGATATCAGTTGTTCTTTGTCATAGGTAATGCTCAGGTGTCAGCAGGTGGGTGTAACCTCCTGCATAACAGAGCATCCTGGTTTTGAGGCTGTTGCTCTGAATCCCTACGTGTTGCAGGCAGTTTATGGCACCTTTCTGCAACTCTATGGGGAGATGCAGGAGACTACGCTCAACAGGTAAGACAACTGTCAAATTACTTTTTTTATGAATACTTTATAACTCATACCACCTCTTTCTCAGCTGTTACAGACATCTGGCGTACCGGAATGTGGTCAGGTGGTGTTGGGGTTACCTGGGACAGCACGTTCGTGTTGTGATCCCGTCATGCGCTGTCTCCAGAATAAGGCAGGAGTTCCCAGAAGACGGTGCATACAAAGGATTCCTCCCTCCTCTGAACTAATATATATTTTTTTGATTAAATAAATGTTATAATATATATTTCCTGTATTGATTCCTGTCCATAAAAAGCTGCATAAATCACAAAACGGTAAATGCACTTCTTTACACTTTGACATTATTTATATATACACACATATAGCCACATACTTTCAAATGAGCTCTTACAACAGTAAGGTTCTAATTCGGGGTTAATTAATGCTGCTGTAACAAGTGAGTTTACACCCTGTGTGATTAATGAAGTCTATTCTAGAGCAGGTTCAATTAGGTAAAAATGAATGATAATAAATGTGATATATGTATTTATACACATCAAAATATCAATATAATTGTATTTAAAAAGACACAATTGCGCTTTAAAGATAACATTTATTATAGCTACTACTAAGACAATGTTAGATAACAATCTGATCATAACTTTCAAGATTTTTGACAAAACTCTAAACCACAAGCAGAGATTCTGGAGCCATGTGAGGAGAGGTTGGGCCAACAGTGATGTTTCATAGGTTCCTTAGACTGGAGGTAGCTTTCACTGTGATGACAAACGTGGAGATGGATCCCGGGAGCACAGGTTTTTCTGTTACAAGATCAGGAGGCTCTAAGGAAAAAGTAATATTAGTATGACTAGTATGACTTACAAAAGCAAGACTGGTGAGTTTTGCTATGTTACATACGGCCAAGATTTTCAAGTTGTATGGGAGCCACAGAGCAGAAAGGTTGTAGAGATCAATAGACATCTGGGAGGTGGACAGCATGAGTCACGAGTGGATGAGCATAAAGATCCATAATGACGACAGGTAACTCCTCTGTCGTACAGTGGTGTGCAGCCTGGCTGAGGAGGAGAAAAGGAGAAACCACACAGAGTAGAGTACTAACTAATAATTACAATCTCCTGTGTAGCTCACCTGACGTGCACTTTAAAACCTGGACCTGTGCCTGCTCACAGCATCCCGTTTATCTGGTCTTTGGAACTGGGCACAGAGCGGTTCTGGAACCGTAATTTTGTCCGAGTACTCCTGATATGGGAGAGGATCCACCACCACAGAGTCGAACAGCAGGTCCATAAGCTTGTGCACATATACTGGAAAAGGGTTTTCAGTATTACAATAGCTCTCCATGACCATCATTTTGGTTTTATCATACAATATATGACATACATGAGGTTGGATTGGTCTTCAGGGCTCTCACTGTGTAGTCTCCATGTTTGTACTTTGGGTACACTACAGCATATCTCAGCTCACCAGTTGCTGTTGCTGCATGTGAGCGTGCTGCATTTTCATTATAGTGCATTGCAGCAATTTGTAATCTGAAATAATCAAATAAACAAACCATGTAGATTTGAGGCAAAATTCTACATTTCATGCTAAAATTTGAACAATTAGAGGCATTAATTTGAACATTTGTTGTATTCATTACCTAGACAGCATTCCTTTGAAGGAGAAGACTTGACTTTTTGGAGTAAATCTGATGATGAGACTGTGGAAAGCCTCCAAGGTGGATGTGTGGTACTGAGGGCTTATCTTCTCTACGTCCTTCACAAACCGTGGAGCTAACAGAATGGCAGTGAGCTTCTCACATGATGCTGTGCCTACGTAGAAAATGTTAATTACAAAAATTACAATTTGATCAACTTTAGAATGTTGCTATTATTTCCATTGAGAAAAAGTTACCCATAGCTGACATTTTTAGATGACAAATGTATGAAAGAGTGACTAATAGTGCTGTAGACAGGTGTGGTCATTACTTACGGCATTTTAGTACATATTATGTCAATTATGGCTGTTCTGCCTAAAACCATGAGTTGTGTGGCGCACTCTTGTGGTTAAATTTCTGCACAGCATTTTATTCTTAGTAATTAATTGCTGTTGGCCAAATGGTGGTGTGTGACCTTAGCAGCCACATGTGATGTCTGTTACTCACATGCTCAAAAAATATTTGTGCTGTGCACATTTTGGATGTGGTTGGCAACTGAAGTCCACTTTGCAACTGCCTCCTGTCCTGAGGAGGAACTGGATGCTGACCAGTAGAGGTGGTTCACCACACTTTGCTTCCACAGTCTCACATCCTGGGTCGTCTTTCTCTTCCCCAGCTCTTCGATTTTCTTACCAATTCCTGGAGAGCCAAATAGACCCACATTTAAAATAGAAAAAAAAATCCTGTAATATTCACTATATACATCCCCAAAGATTACCTTTTCCCATGTGCCAGGGGTCAAAGTAGTGACTGATTTCCTTTTTTTCCTCCCTCAAATACTTCTGCACTCCTGTGTGGCGGTCAGTCACGACTTGCTGCACATCGACCCCCCTCTCCAAAAGTGTGCTCAGACTTCTCACAAATCCCTCCTTCTCCATTCGCACACTATTCCCAACTTCATTGCTCTGAAAATAAACATAATTCTCCATTGATCTGTGAATAATTAACCATGAAATGTTTTGGAATCATCAGGTAATGTTGTACCTGTACAAGTTGGATATCAATAACTTTGTTTCTTTTGAGATCCATCATGGTGTAGCTGCCATATTTGGCTGAGTGTCCTTCAAGAAATGCAAGTTATTACTTAATTTACATTTGATAGCAAAGGAATAAAATAAATAAATTTAAAAGTATTCACCAGGTGAATCAGCTCGCATGTAACCACCAAGAGTCACAGGTCCAGATTCAGTTGCCTCCTGGATGATATCAGCTTGCTCTAGCTGCCACTGCCAGCTCACTGTTGGAATTAAGAGCTTTGCCTGATGCCGACAGAATGACTGCTTGGACAGTCCCTGCACATTGAAGGCACCCAGGAACTAAAATATGAAAAGTTACGTCATGAAATGAGAGACGCACAGACCTTATCAAAACTAACCTAAACAGTTTTGGCCTATACCTTAGAAATCTGGCTAAATGATGATCCTGTGAAAAGGACAGCAGCACAGAGCTGGAGGTTTCCTGCTGGGATGCTGTTCACCATGGGCTGACTGGACCACTCATTGTAGTGCTCACAGCATGAACACCGTTGTGTCACACGGAGCAGTGTGCCGACTGTTGTCGTGTTCACAACACAACGACCGGTACAAACGGGACACCTTCTGAACAGCCCCAGCAACTGTTTCTCATAAACAATGTACTTCTTGTCCTTTTGTGGATGGACCTCAGTGAAAGAGCTGTATAGAACACATACATTTATATATATGGTCATAACTAAAAAATTCTAAAATGTTATAATTTTTTTTTTACCTTGAACAGTTCACTGAGCTTGCACTGTCATTGAGGTGGAAGCTGGGATCAACAACAGACACCTCATATCGTGGTCTTTTCAGGGGTGTGGACGCAGCTCTGGGACTTTGTGGAAGATGAATTTCCGTCACGGTCCCTGTGTCACAAGACACACTGCGGCTGGGAGCTCTAAACTGTGTGGCTATGTAAAATACAAAGAAGCAGCACATTTATAAATGTTTAAAATAGCATAAAATCACGTGTAACAATAATCTGTAAAACAAATTAAAACTAGAAGGTAATAATAAAATGTTTACATAGAAGATTATTAAAAATAATTCACCTTTGCTACGTCGATAAGGCTTTACATGAGCCTGGACAAGTGCATTTTTGCAGATTACTAAATCAGTCTGACAGCCAACGTCTTGGGTAGATTTAGCCTGAAACAAAAAATAGAAGCACATTGTTGTTGGAGTTTATAAAGTCATATAATATACAAAAGAAACTGTCCAATATATATATATATATATATATATATATATATATATATATATATATATATATATATATATATATATATATATATATAGGCGCTTTATAACATTCCTAGTGTGTGATCGTTATTATAACGTCAAAGTCAGTCACATATGATGTGAAGAACCTGAAATGCGACCTCCTGAACAGAATTCCTCACAGAACCGGGTTAGGCTTTGGTGTAAAGCTGGATTTCACGCTGTAATGATGTCTGTCAACTAGTGCTGCGTTAGAGCCACTGTTGCTGAATTACCGACTGACACAAAAACAACCCGAATTTTCTCCGAGCCTGACAGAAATAGTCAAGTGGACCTTTTTTGTCGGCCAGGGCTTTGAGAAATGTTCCGATTCGCCGCTGATTCTAACCTTACATCCCGTTCCACATTTTGTGAACTTGACAAATTAGCCCGAAGGCAGTGCAGGCTGATATTAGCTAAATGGAGTGAACCACGTCTCTCAAACTTTGCATTTAGGTAGGAAATTGTCTTTAGAAGATGTTAACTTTTATTTAGCTTACTCACCTCAGACTGGAGCCCGCCATGGTGGGGGAGCAGAGTCGGTGGGCTGCATCTAATTCGTGGAAGAGCCACGGTGGGCACGGCCTCCCTCTTCAAACGGAGACGTGCAGAATAACCCAGTTCAAACTCCGTCATGTTGGCGAAGGAATCGCGGGTAAAATGCTGGTTGCAGACTACAGCACCAGGCGGGAGCTGACTGTTTTCCAGTACACCGATTGCGCGCAACCACTGGCGCCTAATTTCTAAGTCCAGTGGAAAGGAGTGCAACCCCACAGAGCTACCACAACCAACTACACTACACCTTTTAACCATACTAACACGATATGGAACACTAAACCTGAATTACTTTCCTAATAAAACTAACAGCTAAACACTAACTAAACTACAATATCTAACAGCCAAGCTAACACTAAATAAGTATGTATAACACTAAAAGCTATGCTAAAGACTAGAATATGCTAATGATATATGCTAACGATATGGAACACTAAACCTGAATTACTTTCCTAATAAAACTAACAGCTAAACACTAACTAAACTACAATATCTAACAGCCAAGCTAACACTAAATAAGTATGTATAACACTAAAAGCTATGCTAAAGACTAGAATATGCTAATGATATATGCTAATGCTGAACTACCGCTAACCGTCCTACACTCGCTTGCAAATCCAACTCCCAACTCGCCACAGGGCGTGGCCGAGACTCTCGTTGCTTTATAACTTTGGCACAAGAGCTGCTACGTAGTACTCTACTGGTTTACGTAGTATCTTACTCTTTAGCCATTGGCTAAAATTTATTCAAAATGTGTCAAATTCTGTGTTTTAAGCTGAAGGTGGCGCATTACTGTGGTTTTTAGGCTGAAAAATTAATTTTTAAAGAAAATGCACCAAAATGCTAAAATAATGAATACACACATTTAAAACACTATTAGACACTCATTTATACAGTTCATCAGCAAAAAAAAGTTAATTTAGACGTTACTTGCTCTTGAACTACGCATGGACAACACGTCAAAAACTCTAAACACAAAATACTTCAATAAACGGGACACACTTCTTTTTCTGTAAATTCAATTTCACAGGTGTTGCTAATACCTATGATCCTTCAAGGGATGTGCTCAAAGAGGAGTTCAACATGATGAATAAAATATAGTGTTTTATTTTACAAATACCATTATGAACACAAACTTACGTCTTAAACATTATTTTAATAACGAAACTGCTAAATTCTTTCCAACAGCATAGATGTGTAGTGTATTTTGTCCGAGTGGGTTTGCCGTACTTTGACGTCATCGGCAGTCGAAGGACCCCGAGCCAATTTGGCACCCGAGCAGATCTTGTACCGACACCGGCTCGGCAGAGGGTGAACGAGTCGAGGCGACGTCGTGCTCTGCTTAAGAAGTGTTATTTTCCTGCTTCAGAAGAAGCGTCCAACGTGTTTTTACGCTTTCTCCGAGACATGTCACGTCGCTAAGTTGTTAGCGCTGTGCTCTAAAACGTCAATAGTGCAACGTAGCCTGCTGGAGATTTTAAGGGTTCAGATGAAAACACCCGACCTCTCAAGCTGCTCACACTTGGATCTTAAGTTGTCGCTGTTGCGCTCACGCCGTAATACAGTATTAGATGCGGTTAAAGTCAGACATGAAAAAATAAATACATTTTACATGAATAAGTGATGCTTAGCCTGGTGGGGGGGAGGAAAACCTGGCCTAATAAGCACTGGAGGAAACCCTGTCAAGATCATCAACACTCGTTTATCTTAATGCTATTGAAACATGTAAACCAAAAGGCATTATATCCACTGCTACCTGTCTAATTTTAAACTCAGTAACTTATGCTGTAACTTCACCTTGCCCTGCCTGCTCCTTGCTGCCCGCCGGCTGTGATCACAAGCGACAACATAGTAGTTCCCACTGCTTCTTCGGGAAACAGCACAAAAAAAAAAACTTGGGATCTTGTAGGCGTGGCGATGGGATTTCAGCCGTGGCGGGCCGCCACGGCTACGCCTATGTAAGGGAAACCCTGAATTCTAATGACATCAGGATAATGTACACTGGTAATATGATGTGTGTGAGAGACAATTTTACTGATCTTTAGGGAATACAACTTAGGTCTGTGATAAATTAGAAAATTTTCTTTTTTTTTCATTTTTTTTTTTACCTAAAATGAGCTGCTAAATATCAAGTTTTCTTGCCCTGATCGTGTTTTGTTGTGTTGAAAAGCTAAAAAAAATAAACCTTTTGTGCTGGAGCAAGGAAACAATTAAAACATGATGGCTATGGAATATAGAAGACCAGGGTCAGAAAGCTGGTGTAAAAAAATTACTAGTGGTACAAAATGACAGGGACAATTTTTGGTCCCAGTCCACCCCTGGTTGTGGTACAAATGAAGTGAAGGATAGTAAGATGATTGAGGCGAATATTTGGATTACTGTGTGTACTTGTACAAAGTACTGGCTTTTGATTCGATTTTTGTTCATTTTTTTAGTGAATATCATGAAGAGACTTCCAAGAAGACAAAACCAGCATCAAGAGGAAGAGAAGCACATCAGGCTGTAAACAGGCAAGGATTCAAGCCTAATTTTTACTTCTCTGTCTGCATTGGTTTGGATAGACGCAACACTGTTATCTGTTGTTGCAAGGGCTCTTCTGCAGCCACGCAAGGACAGGCAGAGTTCATACATTTGTCGAGACTGAGATTGCAAGCTTAGGATGAAAATTGAGCCAAATTTTTATTTAATGTCAGACAAAACATCTCACTGAGAAAGTCAAATGTTTTGTCACCCATGACTGAAGAAGTACAAAGATACACAGCAAGCGTTTTTATTCACGGATGGACATGACAAAACATGTGGGTTTAGAGGTGGTGACCATAGGAAGAGGTGGAGGCAGTGGCAGCTCCAGAATTTTTTTTCTGCAGGTGCTATGAAGGAGCTAGTCTTTTTATTGAGGTTGCTATGAAGGAAGTGGTCATGCGTACCTATTGTTCTCTAAAACACCTTCAACACTAGCAGATACACATGCGTGCACAAAACCTCAACAACACCTGAAACAATCATTAATATACATCATAAACATATGAACAATCGCTGACTTTTCCATGAAATCATAAACACATACAGCCATACAGAAAACCATCTATAGTGTTGCAAGGTTAGCTAACGTTAGTGTTAGCATTTCCAGCGGCAAAACCCTCGACTGCTGCGGTGGTTGAGGGTTGACTCTCTTCATCCAGATCCGTAGGTTTTTGTGGGTCTGAGATCACTTCCAAAGATTCATTCATTTCTGACTGAACCCGTGGAAATTTGGGCAACAAAAACCGATCCATTTTATCACTAGCTCTTCCTTTCACTCGTTCGCAGGTGGAAAATTAGGTCAAAGGTTAACATAAATGTCCTGTTTTGGTTTAAGTTTTTACTATCTATATGATAATTTACTGGTCATTTTTGTTTTGTATGTTAAATATTATCACATCCACACGTTAAATTAAAATTAAATTGTAAAAAAAAATCTAATAGTTACTTGGGGGTGCTATGGGGGTGCAATGTCTAATCCAGGGGTAGCTATAGCGCCCCCTAGCGTCCCCCCGGCGCCGCCACTGGGTGGAGGAGAATGAGAGACAAATTATTCTGTATTAAAAAGTCCCTGAAATGCATAAATACAATAGTACGTCACAAAAAATAAACTACCTAAAAACCACAGAAACAACTCTTGGAGCTGATGTGTGCTTTGCTTTGAGTCGCTCAGTTGCATTTTTCTGGCTTAAAACTCCTGTTGGCTCCTAGCTCCGTGTTAACTCTGTTACTTTGGGGCTAGCTTGTGGCTACATTAGTTCAGAGTTTGATTGTGTCAACCATTTGATGATCATTTTTGGGTTTGCTGACATAACATGAGTTACAGCCATGATTGTGGTGGTGGGAACCGCCCATTTGGCTTACAATTTGTTTCACAGAAAGCTATTGGTGGGGGTTGGCCATCTTTTTTATAGAAATTGTATGTGGAGTGGTTGGATTAAGGAGCACTTGTTGAGACAGGGTTGCGTTGTTCATATGGACTAGGGCTGCACGATATTAGGAAAACCTGCGATATTCGATAACAGTGCTTAATATTGCGATATTGATGTTACTCGCGATAAATGAACAAGTACTAAAGTATGCAGTGTTGATGTCGTCTGGCATGTGACGTCTGCTCTGGGTTTAAAGCTAACAAAAACTAATGCATTAATTCCATTACAACATAACATTTTTATTGCAAAAATATGCAGCTGCACCTGCTACTGTATTAGCAGCAAAACAACAAACTGCATGCATGCAGTTTCTCAGTGACTTTAAAACATCACCACCACCATAAAACTTTTTCTGATGCTCCAAATACAGAAAAACATCCCTTACCAGGGTTTTTTAAATAAATAGAAAAATCAGAAAATAAGTTTAAATGTTAAATAATAGTTAACATCACTTAA